GAGCTTTTAAAACTGACCAGAAGTTGACAGGTCAAACAAGTTGCATTTAGATAATCAAATCAGTAGTCGACTTCCTGTGTATTCCAGTTCGACATATCGTGTAGGCCCCTCAATGACGCACATGCGATGTGATTACATTTGCCAGATGAATACAAAGATTATCAACTTTCTACGATGACTAATCTCCAAACCCTTTTTCATGTCATCTTTAAAGCGTTTTTTTGCCAAACAGCATTTAAAAATAAATTTTAATTGAAATCACTCTACAACTAAATACGACCTAGCGTTTCAAATTTGGATAGTTGTTTGTAAATAACAAAACGCTGGACTCTGATTGGTTGACAGGCTTTATTTGTTGTGTGTCCGAATACAAGTAACTCATAATTGAACAGGTGAAGTCAGTGAGTTGAACCAATCAAAATTGAGGGATATATTGCAATAAACAGGCTACCCAGGCTCAATTTCAAAACACAAATTAGATTAAATTCTCCGTTAGGCTGATATATTAACTTCTTAGCCGGTCCTGACATAAATTTATTCAATGTCTGAGTCTCTCGCATATTATCATTGTCTTGTAGCATTCATGATCATTTTCTTCATCGTAGTTTCTTATCAGTCACGTGTTACCCACTCAATCTATTTGATATAATTTGCATAATTACTTGTTGTATTCGTCTTCGCATCCATCTCACGTTAAGAATTCCATTCCTTTTTCTCAGTTTCTAAGACTTCGTCGTTTATTTAGTGATGACTCTGACCGCATTCCATTCACTCTCACGTTTCACCCTCACAACCACTCAGTTAAATCCATCATTCTCAAATTCATCATTCTCAATAATTTGGATATTTCAACTTTGTTGATATATCCAAATTATTTCGTTACCCCCACCAACACAGCCCCAAACAGTTTCATTGGAAACTATCAGCCTTTATCAATCTATTTGAAGTTACTCTCCTAATAACTAGATGAACTATAGCATTCGTTCCTTTTTTATCTGACTACAAAATCCCTGTCATAGAATACATAACCAGCAATTCGCATAGCAGGTAGATAATCTATTCCGAAAGTCTTCAAAATGCTCCTCTCCCATCTTAAAAAAAAATTCGTCATACAAACTGTATTTACCTAATATAATCAGCATTTCGCAAAGCAGGAGTACAACCTGTTCCTGATGTCTTCGAGATGCTGCTCTCCTTTTTACAAATTCATCATGCAAATATTTATTTACTTAATATTTCTAGCATTTCGCATAGCAGGTAGATAAGCTGCTCAGAATATCTTCGATATCCTCCTTTTCTATCTTAAAATTCATTATGCAATTATGTACTTACTTAGTATGACTCTAACGTTTGGATCAATCAGTTCATTATCTAAGCGATTGCGCACCCAATCCTCTCCTAGCTAAACAACAGTCAACTTAGTTCATGTTTGGTCAGGGAAGGGGAGGGGTAGGTACACACAGTTGCTTAGATACTAACACTGATACCAAGATTTCTTCTTCTCGTAGTCCTCAAATTAGCAATAAATGTTACAAATGATGGAAAAGATTATAGTTTTGATTCTTCCTTGACAGTTTCTTGTTCAGGTGGTAAGAAAGCGTTTGATGTTATGACGCTGTTACTCGGAGGCGACTGGCGGGTTTCTCTACACACCATACTTTTAAATGCGGTATTGATATTGGTGCTCAGAAAAATGTACAGCCACGGATTGATGGCGCTGTTGGCGTGACCAAACCAAAAGCACAGAAACATGACAATCGGCTGAAAAGTTACCTCAATATTCCATGTTTGCATGACAAATATCATGTGAACCACATTGGCTGGAAGCCAGCAAAGGGCAAAAGTGGAGGTAACAATAATCAGCATCCAAACTATTCTTCTCTTTAGGGTGTCTTGTTGCTCTCGATTTTCAGTCGAATGCTCATTTCGATGTGCACCTTGGAACCACAACCTCCTTGCAATAATAGTATACAATAAAGACATCACAATCAAAGGGATCAGATAGTTGATCACCACAAGGTAGAGGAATAGGCCACGGATAGTCTTACATGGATCACCCAAAACATAAACAGATAGCATGCATTGGGAATTGTGGTCTTCCATGGTTTGAATAGCTGCAAAAATGGACATTGAAGCCAGTGAAAAGATCCAAATGAATGGCATTGTCAGTTTAGGCTTTCTGAACCAAAGATTGCGGCGGAGGTGATGAACAATGGTATAGTACCTGTCCAATGCTATGACTGTCAGGCAGAGGATGGACGCTGTTGATGTGAAATAGGCAATGTATACCACACCTTTGCACGTGACTTCTCCAAATACTCCTGGTATCATCCATAAACATAGGGGAGTGTTTTCTATCCTTTCTGGTTCACCCAGGCTGAAGTCCTGGCATTCATTGTAATGCCTGAGCATTTCTGGGATATATAACAAACTTAGCTTTTCAGTCACGATCAATATGGGGAAGTGTTGTTTATCTTTTCTGGTTCATCCAGGCTGAAGTCCTGATATTCGGAGTAATTAAGTTTCTTTGACAGTGACAGGTTAATCTAGGGAAGTGTTGTCTATCCTTTCTAGTTTACTCAGGCTGAAGTCCCTGCATTCAGAGTAATGCTTGAGCGCTTTTGGGATATATAACTTGAAGAAACTTTTGTGACTCAAACTTTTCTGCTCTTTGAGCTCTTCACCCATCTCCAGCAGAGTGACAGGAATAAATGGTCGTTTGAGACAAAATTTGAAAAACAGCTTCATTTACTGCTAGAGTTCGCCGTGCAAACTGCGACTGGAAGAGAACATCAAAACACAAAATGCTGCCAAAAAAAATCAATAAATAAAACAAGGCAAAACAACAGCTGGTACATTTCTTTGCGAAGCTAGATCGTGAAATTTCCGATGCGACGTTTTTATAGGACATAAACTTACGACGACGACTGATTTCTTGACAAACTGGGCAATATGAGATAATGTAAAATATGAAACAACAGGAAATAACGCGCACAGCCTCAAGTAGTCGATATCTGTGTTTTCTTGAATAGTCACCCACCCTCGGCCGTCCAACCTCGTAGCTCTTATAAGCGCGACAAAGGAACCCTTTCTTTTTCAGCTTTCATAACGTTTTAAACTTTGACTGCCTTAGATATATAAGTTAGGGAAATTCTTGCTTGAAGAGTTATCAAACAACAACAAACATATGAAACATATGTGTGAACTGCGGTTATGAGACGTATATGAGAACGATCCTTCGCAGTAAAGCACTATTTGAGCAATAGTGAAAATCAGACCTGAAAAAAATTTCAGGCCTGTACGGGATTCGAACCACTGACCTCTGCGATACTAGTGCAGCGCTCTACCAATTGAGCTAACAAGCCAACTGGGAGCAGGCCATCAAATTAATTCGATGGCCTGCTCCCAGTTGGCTTGTTAGCTCAATTGGTAGAGCGCTGCACTAGTATCGCAGAGGTCAGTGGTTCGAATCCCGTACAGGCCTGAAATTTTTTTCAGGTCTGATTTTCACTATTGCTCAAATAGTGCTTTACTGCGAAGGATCGTTCTCATATACGTTTGAAGAGTTATCTTACGCCGGTGCGTTACCTTGCCTTTTTATACTGGCTTCGCAAGCGGCGCAACTGATGCTGCGAATTCTATGAGCTGATTGGCTGTTAGCCCTTCTCTTTTTTTTCATTTTCGGCGGTGGCCAGCATCGCAGCCATTTTGTCCTTGTGTAACCTGCAGGCAAGCTCTCTCTTGTCCATCAACGCTTGGCTCAGGTTTGAGTCCTCATGCTTGGTCAATAACGCATTACTAGATCTACTACCCCGCTCCATGTTAATTTCCAAAACGACCCTGGCGCACAACGCTTGAATTATTTACAGTTAGTTTTTAGGAAACGTTAACGTCCCACCCCCCTCAAGGAAGCTTTACGAAAATAGAAACTCGAGGACTTTCCAAGGATTTATTGAATTCATTGGCGGACTTCCTCTGAAATTAATGGACTCGCAAGACAGTACGAACCCTGTTAAGTTTATAGGAGTTTAACCCTGTTCGTGGTCTCCGCCTGTTTCTCCTTCCTCCTCTTTCGCATTTTTCAACTACGCATTGCACGGCTAATAAATCTTCACTTCGTAAACTTTGTCAGCTTGTTCAACATCTGCTATCTTGTTTGAAAACAATAATTACAACCCTCAGTCCCTGTCTATTCACGAGTTTTAGTCATCCTTGCCGAGGAGGTAGCGCAAAAAGATTTTCAACACCAGTGCCTGAATCAGATCGTTGTGTAATGTCTGAAATCTCTCGCAGCTATCTCGAGGATTCCGGAACCAATATAGATCATCTGAAGGCCAGTGACAAGGGATCCTATGAGTACTGTATGAATATGGTTTAAAAGAAAAAGGTGGAACTGTGTGTAAACTATTAATGCGACATGAAATATTAGTGTGAAAGAGCTGCCATGTATTGCGCACTCTGCGTTTAACAACAAAAGAAAATATACATTGTATTCCGCAGAGTTCATTCCCATTAACTGGTGTCAAGATGCTCAAAAATTACAGCACCGAGCGTCAGCCGTCAAAGATTTTATACACAACAGTGGAGCAGAGTTCCCTCTATTAACTCTGAGTGGAGCAGTAACGAAAAGAAATCGTCGGTTCAGGAATATACTTTGTCTCCGATCCGAAAACAAAAATCGGGTAAAGTTGATTAGAAAATAAAATAGTCAGGCCGCCAGTTAAATTTCGTAGGAAATAAGCGTCACAGCCTGTGTTAGTGTTAATGGAATCGACCAAATACGCAGGCACTGACCAATAAATGTTTTTACTACGTGACTGTATCATTAGCCCCAACTCGCTCTGGGCGAGCGCGTTGTCTCATTACTATTTTTAAGCGCCGACCATGTACACTTTACGTCGACCATGTACACACGACCATGTATACCGCTCTTTTAATTACCTTTTCACGCCATGGGACGATGACACGATAGCGTAAAATTTGACGCCTCTATCAGATTAGAAGCGAAATACGATCACAGATTTTACTCAAGCAAGCTATGGGTATCCGGCATCTAGTAAAATATGGACTGGATTAGATTAGTAAATCATAGATTAGTAAATAATGGATTGGATTGGATTAGTAAAACATGGATTAGTAAAACATGGATTGGTAAAATGAACGCTAAATAGGACGAGTTACATTTTAACTTACTTTTAGTACTGTTCTATCTTACTTTTTTAGTCTTAGATACAATGAAATATATGAAGTTCATATATTTTGAACTGCGGTATTAGATACGTACGATGCACGATCCTCGCAGTAGATAGCGCTATTTAAGCAATAGCGAAAATCAGACCTGAAAAAAATCAGGCCTGTACGGGATTCGAACCACTGACCTCTGCGATACTAGTGCAGCGCTCTACCAATTGAGCTAACAAGCCAACTGGGAGCAGGCCGTTAAGTTGATTCGTAATAAACCCGTGAAAGTGATAAATCAGATACAATGAAATATATGAAGTTCATATATTTTGAACTGCGGTATTAGATACGTATGATGCACGATCCTCGCAGTAGATAGCGCTATTTAAGCAATAGCGAAAATCAGACCTGAAAAAAATCAGGCCTGTACGGGATTCGAACCACTGACCTCTGCGATACTAGTGCAGCGCTCTACCAATTGAGCTAACAAGCCAACTGGGAGCAGGCCGTTAAGTTGATTCGTAATAAACCCGTGAAAGTGATAAATGAGATACAATGAAATATATGAAGTTCATATATTTTG